TAGCGGCGGTAAGGCCCAAGATCGCGCAAGTGACTCAGAGGTCATATTCGGTCGCTGGAGGGAGTAGGCGGGAGGGGCGTGTGTTGCATTTGCCTTTGGTGGCTTCGCTTGTTAACGTTTCTCCGTTTTTACTGATTAAAACAGGAGAAAGGAAAAAGTAAAGCGCGCTGAGCGGGCTACATGCCGCCTCGCACCCTTCCCCACCTCCCCCAAGATGCCACGAAGGTTTTTTGGGGCGAAAAAGTGAGGGACGTGATGAAGTTTCCTGGGGAGGGCGGGAGGGGGGAGTAGTGAGGGGGGGTTGTTCTCAAAAAAAGACGGAGAATTGATAGGAAGTTGAGAATACTCAGGGAAAGCTAGGAACATGGTAGGCAGTTTCTTGGGGAAAGTGGATTCATATCAGAAGAGAAATGCTTGAGGGGGGGGGGCGTGTTTTGTAAAAGTTTCTCCAAGAGGGAAAAAACTCAGGTACTTCGAGGGAAGGAGAGTGAACTCTTACCTCCAAAATGTGTCTTGTATTCTATCTTAGTGGCATGGGATGGTGCAGGTGTTCGCAAGTAGCAAACATCCGCATTGGAATCATCTGTAATGAAAGATGAAAGGCTCCTGAAAGATGACAAGTGGGAAATGAAAAGAGCTGCTTACCTGTACCAAACCTGTAGTATTCCGACTCGAAACAGTATCGTATCAACCCGTAGAACCGTGTACCTTTCAAGTGCTCATGATCGGTGATATATCGAAAGCTGACGGAGAATAAACAGGCAGTTATGATCGCTACCGAAATCAGAGCCAACAATGATGAGCTGATTAGGAATATCACACGAGATTTCGATGCAACGGTCATGATGCACTGAAAAAAATCAGATGAACGAAAAATAGGGTTTCAGATTGAGGTTTGCACCTCCAGTAGGAGCAAACAGAGAACGAGTTTGGAAGGAAATTCGAAGTTGATTAAAGGGAAAAGCCGAAAAAAATAGAGAAGTCACGAAAATCGAAAGAATTCAAATCGCTGAAACCTCTGAAAGAAATGGTACCAGAGGGAGAGAGAGAGAGAAATGGATATTTTTTTAGTGGCTGTCTTCTTTGCTCTTTTTCTCCTCACCCTCTGTGTTCATGTCTCGTTTATTTGTTCGAGCCCTTCGAGCTTGTCACACCCATAACGATTTCTTATCTCACGCCCTTAGCCGACCCGGTTTGGTTTTAACTGAACGACTCTCTTGCTAATTCAATATCTTCGCAGGTACCTCGACCGTTCGAAGTGGTCCTCTGCTCCGTATTTAACATCAAGGTTCAACCAACTTTCTATATGCGCGCAATGCGTCTTTCACCTCAATTATTTACTTTACTCTAAGAAGTAATGAACATGCAACTAGTTGGCATGGTGCAATAAACTCTCGTACGCTCGTATGGTCTAATGGACTGATTTCTCCGCCCTCACGGTCGGCGCATCTTTCCTGCCGCAGTCCAGCAACGAACAAGTATGCGCCCATCCAGCTACAGTTTAGCAGTAGTCATGGTTTATGCGTACGGAATATTATTCAGACGGCAAAAGGATCGGCGGAGGTAGAGGAGAAAAGTTGAGCCTCCGAAATCCTAAGAAACATGTTTCTAGTTTTACAATTGTCTAGTTTGTTGCTTTGCCTAGGGAAGCAGGAATGTTTCAGGAGAAAAATTCCCTGAAATCGAAATCATACAAGGTTGGAGAGCAGGGCTCTTAGGCTCTTTGGACACTTTCAAATCATTCGAAAGACATAGGAAACGAGGCTACAAAGATGGATGATGTGAAATTTTTGGGCAGTCTTGTGATTTCTGAAACTCCTTTTCTCTCAGTTGCTTTAAAAGTGTGACTCTGAGCTACTGCACTAATGTTATGTATAATAACGCCTTCTCCTCCGTGCTCGAACCGTCTTGTGACACGAATAGCTTTCTCGACAACAATCAATAGTTTAAAAACGAAATTAATGTTAAGTACATAATCCATGGCAAATGTTGGTCATGCGGTCTACAACAACTGTTGGGAGGGGTACCAAGAAGTCACCCTTATATGAAAACCTAGTGCTTCGAGCGCTCTTTCTTTCAACTAGTGCTGTGAGAAAGAGCAAGAGCGCGCGTTGGTGGGAACTACAACAAGTTAGTTGATTATTCAGCGAATCATCGTTGGCCATTCTCTTACAGGGAGGGTCGCACATGGTCGCTGGGGAGGTGGGGGCCGTATTTAGTTCTAGACAAACTTTTTTATAACACATTTTCCTTGCTTCCAGACGTTATGAGGGACGGGTCACATTTGCTCGCTGCTGGGAGATGGATGGGGTCGAATTGCTTTCTGGCAGAATTTTGCTGTATTTCTCGTTTCACATATGCTACCGACAGCAAAATTTTGGAGAAAAAATAGAAAAATTTTCGGGAAAATTTCCAGAAAAACTGGTAAGAAGTTGGGAGCATCTAGAAAATCAAACTCGGATTAGTCGACTATTTAATCGAAATAGCGAAAATAACAAACCTATATAATATTCAATTCTGTTGAGGGATCACCCAGGAGAATGCCAAGGTTGCCCAATTTTACTCCAAAAACCAAAAACAGGAATGAATTAAACAAGAATAAAGAATGAAGGGAAAATTTTGTTCTTTAAATCTTTTAATTCAATTTACCTCACGATTTGATTCAAGCATTCATTTTTTTCTTTTCTTAAATTTTCCACCGACGCGGAGGCCTCTAACATACTATTAAACACGTACAGTCGTTATCACTGACATGAGTCGGGACGTCCGTGGGGCGTGCGTTTTGACGCGGCGGCAGCCCGCTTTGCGTCCATCGTTACCGCTTCGGGTGTTGAATAAGGGACTGGAGTCACGGCAAAATCTACGCTCCGCTGGCACGCCCCGACTCACTCTAGAGCTAACGACTGTATTACATAGGGTTGGTTGTGGAGATAAAAAGTTTCCCACCAACCCGTAAAAACGCAAAGACGCAAGTGCACGAAACCAGTTGGGAAGCGCTAGACGATGACGGTTTACCTCAGAAAGGAAAAGCTCCCCTCCGTGGTCAGGGAAAACCCAGAGCGGAGTGTGGATCAGCCAATTTGTTTCAACGGTGCAAAGTGTGTCAGTTAAACCCGCAACACTTCTTAGCAGGTGTAGACCAATGTTTTCAACCCCTTTGCGAGCCTTCGTTTACGCCAAGTCCTGCAATTGTAGCTTAAAGTTAACGAGCGAAGCAAGTCACCAGCCCAACACTTATTTTTTTCTGTTGGTTTTGACCATCGCTGGCCACACACATTGCCAAGACTTACGGAAATGGGAGGATGACTTTCCATGAACTGAGCACATTGACAATTCTTTTAGGGATCTATAGGTACCTTTTCTACCATGCTTTCTGACAAACTGCTTAAGTTGTGATCCCAACGTAAACACCCCATCAATCACTTTGTAATTTATGACGTAGTTCGGGCTCGCTTCAATCAGCTTTGATGTTCAAATGCTGACTCTCTTCGTTTTTCTCTTCATTGTGCCTAAGGAACGAGAACTGATAGAACTTTCAGTGCTCCCTAAAATCATCCGGGGCCAGTCCACACCTTTCGCCGTCGTTGTCGAGTTTCCATCGTCTTCGCTACGAGCGCAAGGCTATAAACAGGCGGCTTTCACTCTTTGTGCAGTGATTCAAATCTGTGTCAATGGTGTGTTGGTCACTTTGTAAACACACCCGAAATTCTTGACCATCACGGCTATAGATCCGAATGAAATACCACAAATGTATCGGAGGCCAGTTATAAGCTCTAGCAAGAAAAAATAGGGTTACAGCAACTTCTGGACAAGGAAATATTGGGTTGATGAAAAAGTTTTGATAGGGTTTTTGAAGTTCCAGAACTTTCGATTCTTGATCGATACCAATGATCTACCATGCGATAGTGTAGAACATTCTAGAACTTCTCCGTAATGGGTATATATAGGCGCGATTTCTCCTTTAGCTTAAATCACGATAATTCCATGTTCGATACATCATTTTCTACAAGTGGCGCGGAGGGAACCGTTCGCAACATCAACAGCGTACGGGGGAGGACACCACTTCCATCGCTGCGGTCCATCGCTGGTTCGCTCGCTTCAAGGAAGGAGACACGGACTTCGAAGACAAGACCCCCTCGCCGTCTACGACTCCGTCATTCTCGACGCTGTTAAAGAGGATCCGGAACCTAACAACTTGCGACGAGACTTGGATGTGCCCAATCAACAGTCGTCGGTCGCCTTCAGGCCCTCGGTTACAGAAAAGTGCTGACTCGATGGATACCTCATGTCTTGACCGATAGCATGCGGTACACCCGGGTATCCATTTGTCAGTCTCTCCTTCCGCCCACATCGCAAGGAGTTTCTGGAGGACCTAGTTACTGGAGATGAAAGCTGGATCCTCTACGACGCTAACAAGCACCGCGCCGTCTGGCTCCCGCGAGGAGAACAGCCGCCGACGCAAGCCAAATCCGACCTCCACCCCAAGAAGTTTCTCCTTTGCTGCTTCTGGGATTCAAAAGGAATGCTGTACTACGAACTGCTCAAGCAAGGCCACACCGTCACCGCTCCCTATTACGCTGGTCAGCTGCAGAAACTTGCGGAAGCCGTTCGAGAAAAACGGCCTAGACGAACTTTTGTGCACCTCCTCCATGACAACGCTAGGCCTCACATAGGTAAAGAGACCCGTGCAAAATTGGAGGAGCTAGGCTGGGACACGGTTCCACATCCACCCTATTCACCTGATATTGCCCCCTCAGATTACCACTTGTTCCGGCCCCTCAAGGCTTTCCTAGCAAAAAACGATTCGTCAACTATGACCACCTTGAACAAGTGGTCGGTGACTTCTTTGACTCCCAATCTCCCCAGTTCTGGGAGAAGGGAATCGCTGACCTGCCCGTTAGGTGGGACAATGTTATGACTAACGATGGTTATTATATTGTTGATTAGCTTGCATTGTTTGCTGAGTTGTAAAACAAAACAGAAAAAAAATCCCAACCCTATGAAAACTTTTTGATCAACCTAAGCGCCGGTTTCCTAACGAAAAGGCTAGATAAGGAGTACAAAACACTGACATCACATGCAACCTTCACACCTGCAACTGAACTTTCCCGAGAAGTGCTGCTCTTTTCTGTAATGAAATAGTGGCGCGCTGAAAAAGTGTAATATTCGGAGTATTGTGTTACACGTGCTAGTGATCCAGTTTTTTTGGAGAAACAATGACAAGCCATTGATTTAGTAGCCATTGAGAACCGCTTTACGTTGTGCGTTCTACTCTGAGATGGAGGGAGAGAGTCGTCTTATGATAATTTGATATTTCCTATTTTTGATGGTGATCGTTGATTTTTCTTCTTTCAGCGACGTCCACAGTAGTGGATGATTTCGCAGTTTAACGCTTAGCTGTTTCTTCTAATAGTTGAATGACTACCTGTTTTCGCTAATGCCCAACAGGTACTGCGTGGAGGAGGGAGTATTCAGGAAGACCTTGCAGGAACAGTGACCGCGACATGTGGCTATAAGAGCGGATCCGAGCGAGAGATTGTAAGAGGCTATTTAAAGCCAGTTACTGCCACGGCACATGATTAGCTGGGAATTTTGCGGTCAACTCCGTAGACCCCCCCTCCACCTAATTCCCTTCTCTGATACTATCGAGCTGTCGAGCGGGGGAGGGTATATAGCATATGTGAAATGCAGAAACCCTCAAGGAAGATACGACCCCTCCCTACCCATCCTACCTACCACTTTCTTCAATTTTCCAAACTTCCTACCTTTCTTCCAGTTTATCCGGAAGTTCCAAAGAATTTCCCTATTTTTTCCGCGAAATTCAAAATATGCTGTGTTTGCAGT